TAAATGTCCGATATTCTATGTGTGGACGCCACGCATGACCTGACCTCACCCGTCTGTCGTAGATTATTCACTGACTCACTTAATTCCAATTTCAGTGTTTCCTCCGAATTGTCCCTCTGACCAACTGACCTCCCCCCCCCCCCGCAGAGACCGGGCTCCGTTCGTGCTGACCTCAGACATGGCCTACGTCATCAACGGCGGGGACAAACCGTCAGCGCGCTTCCAGCTGTTCGTCGACCTCTGCTGCAAGGGCTTCAACATCCTGAGGAGGCACGGCAACATCTTCCTCAACCTGTTCGCCCTGGTGGGTGGTCCCTTCTCGTTCTCAGGCTGTTCAGTTTTGTGATATTGACTGCCTCATTACGGCTTTATTGCCATCTTGTTGCGTCTCTAACTATTTTTCTATAATATTCACCAGTTACCACGTACGTACGCAGTAGCTCTGAATATCTTGCTGTTACTGCGTTATGCCGGTTTATGGTATTACAGCTCGTATTCTCCAGGTGGCATATTCGTCTTCGTCTCTTTCTTGTAATATAGAACTGACTGTCGCCGCTCCTTTATCTACCGTTGTTATCGCTTCTGATGCTGTAGCCATAACTTTCGATGTTCACTCATGCATTCCCGATTAAGACCATTCCTCTAGACTAATGTACAAATAACACCCATCGCTGTGTCCTCTAATGACGCCATCCCTCCCCTCGCCTCCTCCCCCACAGATGACGTCGTCAGGCATCCCGGGCGTGTCCCGTGACGCCATCGACTATATCCAGCGGGCGCTGCTGCCCAACATGGTCGAACACGAGGCGGCTGCCTTCTTCGCCCGCATGATCCAGGAGAGCCTCAAGTCGTGGTTCACGTCTGTCAACTTCTTCCTGCACAGTCTGGCGCAGCTGCGCTTCACGGGAGATCATAACGACGAGCAGCTGCTCAGCTTCGTGCCCAAACGATACACGTGAGCGTGTAGGGACGTGGGCTAGGTGGGGGTATCAGCGAGCATGGCAATGTGAAGTCGGTACGTGGCAAGGGTCTCTTAATCGTGATTGTAGTAGAATTGTTTGCGTTGTCGGTACAGTAATGTCAGCTTAGTTAAAAGGAAAAATGGGAGATACTATGCGAAAAGGTTTTCGGTTTCTGCAGAATAAATGCTAGATGCCAGATACGACACGCCAATGCCAGAGTATGCGTAAAGATGCTGTATCCCATACAAGGACCTCCGTAATCTCTCATGACACTTTTCTTCTCTTTTTTCCTCCTCATTGCTCTTCAATCTGAGAGTTTGCATCAGACCGATTTTGACCACCCACTGTGCTCCACCCCACAGTGAGGCGACGGACGGCCGTATCAGCTCCGTCACCGTGTACGGCTACCAGAAGCGCTACGAGCCGGAAAAGTGCTACGTCTTCATCCTGCGCGTGCAGCGAGAGAACATGACAGACCCCGTCTACGTGTTCAGAACGTACAAAGAGTTCATCGAGTTCGGCCAGAAGCTGACCATGGCCTTCCCACTGGTCATGGACTTCTACAGGTGTGTATCTGGGAATTGTTCGTGGCATTGGGATGTTATGAAATATTGATCGCTGCTCATGCCAGCTGAAATACATCGAGCACGCGTTTTACTGGTTCATGGACATGATTGCTGGGCTTGATAAAGACTGCTTTTTGCTGTTTTCCGTGTGAATATGCTGACGAGGCTAAATACTAACTCTTCTGTTCTCTTTATTTAAAGGGTTGATTCTTTTATTCGAACTCTTCTGTTCTCTTTATTTAAAGGGTGGTTTCTTTTATTCGGACCTAGAAAGTCTTCAGGGCAAATTTATTTCTTGCATTTTACTTTGCTTTGCAATTGTCTCATCAGTTCACCAGTTTTACAGGCAAGATCACCGCTTCAACTCCAAATCACCAGCTCCTCTGACCTCCCCTCCCTTCCCCTCCTCAGTCTACCGAAGGGCGGTCGGCTGGGCCGGTCCCACATTCGTCAGGTGGCAGAGGCGCGCCGGCGCAGCATCTCCAACTTCCTGCGCAAACTGTGGCAGCTGGCGGACGAGGTGCGACACTCGGACATCGTCTACACGTTCATGCACCCGCTGCTGAGGGACCAGCAGGAGGACAGCATCAACACCAGAAAGCTGAAGGGTGAGTGGAACAGCGGGACAGCATCAACACCAGGAAACTCAAGGGTGAATCTCGACTACTCAGTTTTAGTAGGTAGTCAGACAGCGTAGCTGGAAGTGGCGTGAGGCGAGACTCGTGCCCCATTATTTACCTACAGCTGTATCGCTGATTGTTTTACAATACTTTTTACCTGCTGGACCCCGACATGATTCTCCTGATGGTGTCATTCACCGGCTACTCCGTCATTGTTATTCGTTGGTCGTAGGTCGCCAGCTGGACTCCGTCTCACTGTCCGTTGGCCGTCGTTTCGTCTTCTCTGATCTTCTCTGTCTACATCTCCCCAGAGCCAAAGCCGACCGTGAACCGAACAGCTCCTCACTACATCCGTGGCCAGCTGCAGCTGAGCTTCTGCTACCAGCGCAACACGTTCAGCGTCTTCGTCCACCACGCCAAGGACCTGGAGCTGCCCGACGGACAGGAGCCCAACGCCTACGTCAAGATCTACCTGCAGCCTGACCCCAACAAGGTCACCAAGCGCAAGACCAAGGTGGTGCGCAAAAACAACCACCCGAGCTTCATGGAGAGGGTACGTGTCGCTAAGTCATAGGTGTCGGATTACATGACTGGCATACTTGAGAGATAGGGCTGCTGTTTTTTCCTAGCTAATGTGCCTTCTTTGTATAATTATCATTCGTATTCAGGGCCTCAGGCTAATTATAAGGTTAAATTCATTCGGATTCTTATTTCGTGCGATGAGCATCGTATCTTATCAGCAATTCTTGACGAGCTTATCTCAAGAAGGTAATTAATTACCTTTCGCATTTCACCGACACCCGTCCTGTTTCCGCTCTACAGATAGTCTACCGAATGCGGCTAGCAGCTGTCGAGGACAAAACGCTCCAGGCTTCCCTCTGGCACCAGGATCACCTTCAGGAGAACGTGTTCCTTGGCGCGGTGGTGGTCCGCCTGGCCGACTTCGACCTGACCCAGGAGACCCAGCAGTGGTACAACCTGACCAACTTCAGTCGGTGAGACGACGCAGGGGGTCGGGGAGATGGAGAACTTTATCGACGTCCGAGGGAGAGGGGTTGTCGGAGGTCAGTGTCACCGCGAAGGCATCAGCTGAGGCCGCGTGAGACTGGTTAGCCGAGAGGTTGAATGTCAAGTCACTCCACGCTGCGAGCTCTTGGCAGTGCCAGTTTCTGGTGGTGGACTTCAGCCGGCTGGTGCACAGTGGGTTTCGTGATTCGTGTACAGGGTGAGGCGATGCACAGACAGACCTCTGGAAAAGGTCTGATGTTTGCCGTTAGGAGGTCGTCGTGGGGACCAGCCGTCATGCCTGGACTGGGTGGAACGGTGCTAAGTGGCTGTAAGGACCAAAGGACGGTGTGGGAAGTCTGATGGATGAACCAGAGCTGGTGCAAAGAATAGCACGGGATTGCTGAAGACGGCTACTGACAACAGAGACATGTGTTACGAGTTGCGTCTTTGCGGGACCTCCTCTGTCACCTTGACTGCAATATCAAGACCCCAGCCGGTTAGGAGGCGCAAGCTGTCTTTGCTGATGAGCTGGTACTCCTGTGAAGGACACAGCAGCGGGTCTGCTGAAAAGGTTTCATCCCTTGCGGCCTGCTCGGTAGTCGATTATTTGCATCACGCGCGATGTGTCACGCTTTTTATCGGGCAGGCTCCCTGGAGGCCTCCCGAATCTGTTGGGTCTAGTCTCGAAGACGCACACTGGAGATATTAGATGTTTATTCGCTCGAGCGGACCTCCTCAGAGCCTGCCGCGCTTCCAGAGCTTGTTCCACTATGGCATGACTGTGAGTGACGACTTTGTGCTGCATGGACAGCCTGTTATTTAGCGTGAATGTGCAGTGCGTGAAGTAGAATTGCGGGTCTGTGTGGTTGACTTGGTCACCGGCTGTCATAATGGGTTATATGCAGGATGTGAAAGATGCCAGTGGCTAGTCGAAGCGTCTAGGGTGACTAGCTGAGCTGCTTATTTCAGCCATGTCTTAGAGATGAGTGCGCGTCGTATATCTACTTATTTTAGGCTCCGGTAGTCGAATGTCAGCCGTAGCGTAATATACTGTTATCTGTTCTGTGATTGGAGCCAAACTGGCGGTCAGAGATCATGATTTGTGATTTGATTTGTGATTGGTTGCGGCTTCTTGAGCACGTGAGCTGATTGGTCCAAATACGCCGCACTGACTGCTGATTGGTGGGGGCGCCTGTTATCTGACTTCTGATAGGCCAACCGCGCCACACCGCTCGCTGATTGGAGATTTCGTCGCGTCTTTGACACGCCACCGGCGGCTCAGGTCTGCGATTGCTGACAGTATTTGCCGTTGAGCACGTTACTTCGGTTTCAAGCATTCCATACCTGTGTTGCGCGGGCGTCGGGCCTGGCTCCGACGGGCTACCGGCGCATCCTAGTCGTCCTGTCCGCGTCTCTTTGCCGGTACTGTCGTCAGACCCTCCGCGCGATGATCAAATCTGGTCGGGGAAAGACCGACTGATAGCTTTACACTGACGCGAAATGAGCTCTGCTGTCGAGTACCCTGTTGTCAAACCCGCCACTGTCTGAACTCAATCTCCGATATCGTATCATTGAGGACATCTGATCGATGCTGTATGCGAGTACTGTGTTTTCACTCCCTGACAGTCCCATCTGTTCGTCTGTGTTTGTCTCATCGGGTGTCTGTTTTATACCGGGCCATTTCTACGTCGGGTCAAATGATCTGACCCCGACTCCTGCACTCTGTGACCAGATATTATATAACGATGTGTGTATGTGTAAATATACTACAGGTAGCGCGCTGCCTTCCAACAATTCCCTTTTGTTTTCCGTGTGATTTGTTTTGTGGCTGTGAAAGATGGGAGTAAAATTCTCGCACGCTATTTTATTCACGTCGCGTCACAATCACAGTAAAGATATTGCCGAGAAACTTGGCGATACTCCAGCAGCGCTCGGCGTCGAGCGCTCAGTAATGCACTTAATCACACTCGGTAAGCATATGACGGTTACACGATTAATTCCGCCGAGCCTGGCCCCGTGCGCAGCTAGACCCGACCGGGTCATTAACCAGCTCGGCTGAGGAGCGTCCCCACTTGTTCGCAGTAGCTTCAGTAGCCGTAACAGCACCGCCAATACAATCACTCAGTCATCAACGTTCATTAAAACACTCTCGCCGCGCACCAGGTGCGTATCTTAAACGATAAAGTCTTTCAGCAAAGCAACAGTAAGGCGACGGATGGGTTGGGTATGGGACCACACGCAGGCGGCTGCGCACCGCGCCGGGAACACTTCTCGTCCCACCCGGCACACTCAGCACTCGTAACTCTCTCACTCCCGCAGTCTGTCTTTGGGTGCGGCCGAACCGGGGCGGTCACGTGACTCGGCGCGGCGATGGCGACGGTTCAGCCAGCTGGTCACGTGGGCTGCAGTTTTTGGAAGGTGTTGGCCATCTCGAGGACGCGCGAGCTGCGAGGGGCCGGCGCACGAGCTGGTGCCAGGGTGTCGGGCTGTGGGAAAGACAATATCGGTTACTGGAGGTTCAAGACCCAGTGACCAGTTATATAGACGTTGAGAGAGACTAGCAGCATACCGCTCAACCCCAAGAGTCATCTCGGCAGAGCCATTCCATTGTTGAACTTACAAGGTCAGTTAAAATGAAATATCAAAACAATAGGTATACTCGTATGATAAATTGCAATGGAAATTTAAAAGTAGCACCTGATACAAATGACGTTCGTGTCACCTTCCTTTTACTCACCTCAATGATGATCTCCTTGTGTCCCAGTTTGCGCATGGTCTGCTGCTCCCTCTGCTCGCGCTGTTCCCGTCTCTCCCGGACCAGTTTTAGCCAGTCAGCGGTCGGCGCTCCCTCCTCGGGCTGAACAGACCGCCTGTGCTCCCCACTGGGCCCGGCCGCCGCTGACGCTGCCGACACCGAGCGGGCGGTGTCAGGGGTCGCCTTGATACGCGGCGCCTCCGTCACCACAGCGGGGGTGTCTGTGACAGCCGCCGAGGGAGACGGGCGCGGCTGGGTGGGCGGTGCCGGCTTCCGCGGTCTCTCGGGTCTCTCCGGCCGGACCGGCGCGGTCTCGGTCGGTATCGGACCGATGGAAGGCGGTCCCGCCTCTCGGACCGTCGGGCTCTTCGGTCCGCCGACCGGCATACTGACAGAGCGCTGGTTCCAGACTGAACGCGCCTCCGACGGCGAGACAGACGCAGTCTCCGCCGCAGGTTTGGGTCGGTCCGAGTCCTTCTCTTCAGTCGACACCCGCAGTGGGTCCTCAACTGGTGAGGTGGGAGTCGAGAGTTTCGGCGCCGACTCCTCAGAGTTGACTGACTTCAGCGAGCGCCGTTTGAACACCTTAAGGAGTTCAGAGTCGGGGGAAGTGCTGGTGGCAGCGGCGGCGGGTGGCGGGGGCCTCCGGCGCAGCACCACGGGTTCCGAATCGTCCGAGTCCTGTGTGCTCTGTCTGCCCAGGGAGGAATTCCGGGAGGACTCCGGTGTCCTCACCGAAGAGAGGACATGGCGAGCCGGTACCTCCGGCGCTGCCTTGTGGCTCTTCGGAGACGCGGGTGCCTCAGGCTCCGTCTTGAAGGTACTGCCCACACTGTCCTCGTGATTTGACTGGGTGCTAGCACGAGACTGACGGGGGCTGTGCTTCTCAACGAGCACAACCTCTGGGATATCATTTATCATGCCATCAAACTTGTGGTCAGGTTTAGCATCCACCTTTTTAGTCCCCGTCTCCTCACTTTTCTGAACTTCCACCTTGCTCTCCACCTTTATCTCTGCCTTCTCCTTCTCCTCAGCTTTCCCTGTCGGTTTGGAGAGGCTCTCTCTCGGTTTTGGTTTGGGCACCACCACCTGTGTGGTCATGGCTGATGGCGTCTCCACCCGATGCAGATGAACTCTCATGAACTCGGGCGTCCCGTCACCCTCCTCCCCCGACGAGGTCCTCTCTACCGGTGAGTGTCGGGACACCTCAGAGGAGGGAGACGAAGGGGGAGCGTCTGCTGGACGGACAGCAGGCTCAGTCTCTGAGGTCTTCCTTGGCTGGACTGGAACGTCAGGCCTGTCCGCAGTCGCCGGAGAAGTAGAGAGAATGGAGGTCTCTTGGTTGATGAGATCGTCACACCGTCCACTATCCAAAGCGGCGCTCTCGACGCTCTCTGCCAGACTCTTCCTCGATCCCGATCGATCGCTCGCTTTGCCGCTGGACGCGCTTTCCGGGCGTCCGCTGCTGATTTCTTCGCGGTCGCTCTCCTGACCAATCGAATCCTGCGATCCCTCCACCTTCACTTCCACAACCGACTCCGAGCTGGCGCTCCTGCTCACCTCTTCCTCACTCTGCCTGCCCTCACTGACCTCCGAACTCCCCCGCTCTACCTCGACCTCACTGCTGGTACCACTCAGCCTCTCCGACGAGCCAGCCGGGGAAGCGGCGACCTCGTCGCTCCCCTCGCCGATCCTCGCGCTGTCAGCGGCACTGACTGCGGGGTCGGTGGCGGGGGCCGGGCGGGGCAGTTCCACCGGCTCGGCCCGGTCGGCAGCCAGCAGCATGGCCGAGTCCAGAGAGCGTGGGCCGGAGTCTGGCGGGGGAGCGGGCTCAGCGCCACCAAATACCAGCGCAGAGGCGCGACGGCGCTGCGCCGCTGTCGGTTGAGATGGGAAAAGAGTGTGGCCACCTGGTGGGGAGCCACCGGGGGCGGATAGGGTCGGGTCGGCGCTGCTGGCCGGACGACGGGCTGGTTTAGCCCGCGCCGGTCGCAGAGGGACCATTGAAGACGGACCGCTAGGGGGCATCGAGGCCCTCTGTAGCTCCTCTGTAATCCAGGGCGGGGTTGGAGGCCTGTCGTCCTCCGCCGCCAGAGGCGGAGGGGACTTCCTCAGTTCATCCTTCACCCACGGCGGGGTCGTTTTGGTCTCTTCCTCAGCTGGCGGCGTTTTTGGCTGCTCTTTGATCCAAGTCTTACGAAGTTCATGCCCAGACGATGGCGGGGTTTTCCGCTGTTCCTCTTTCACCCAAGACGGCGGTCGCTGCACCTCCTCCTCACCAGAAGAGGAAGACCTAGCCTCCTTCACATAGGTCTTTCTCAGCTCGTGACCAGAGCCTGTCGATGCCTCTCTGGGAGGGGAACGCCGCAGTTCCTCCATCCAGGAGAGCTTCTGAGTGCCCGAGCTGCGACGGGGCGGAGAGGAACGTTCCTCCTCCGTCCTCTCCGGAGTCTCCCGACGGCGTCTGAGGACAGGCGGGGATTCCTCATGCTCCTCCTGTTCCTGTGACTGCTCCTGATCATTCTCCTCCGGCTCCTCGGGATTGATCGCCACAGGAGCGACCTCAGCGGGTGTCTCTTGGTCAAGGATCGACTCCAGCGACCGCGGCTCATCAGCTGGTGTTTTGGGAGCCGGCGGCTCGGACTGCTCAGCACCCTCACTGCCCTGTGACACCGACCGTGACCCCGTGCGGAGTATCGACCGAGGACGAACAGTGACCTCAGGTGACCTCTGCACCTGCTCCTCCTGTCGCACTTCCTCCTCTGGAGGACTGACCGGAGTCTTGTCCTCCTCGGCGCGAGCCATCTCCTCCCTCCTGGCCGCCAGAAGACCGGCCTCCTTCATCTCCCTGGCCAGAGCAGCCGCTGACTGCTTTCTCTCCTTCACCACGGGGTTCTCTGCGGGTTTGTCCACCACGTCCGGCTCTGAGGCGACCTCTGCCGGCGGCGCCGAGCGAACGCTCTCCAGGGACACCGGAGGTCGAGCCGGCTCCGGCTCGGGAGCTTTGACGACCGCCTCTCGAGGCTCCTTGCTCTCCTGAGAGACATCGCTGCGCGGCTGGGGGCGCGGTGTCTCCTCTGTCTCCTTCCCAGTCTTACGCTTCCTTCCACTGCGCCGGGAGCCGAACAGGCGGCTGAAGAAGCCGCCCTCCGACTTCTTCTCCGGGGCCGGCTCCGAGGTGTCCCGACCCCAGAGTTTGCGCGGTGACAGGTCGCGCAGACGCCGGTCGGCGATTGTAGAACGGGATCGCTGGACAGGTGTGGCACGCTCGGCGACTCCAGCGGCCGGCAGAGTGGCCCGACCACGCTCGGTGCCGGCGGCGGGAGCACCTGTGGGTAGAAGGGAGGGGCAGTGTCAGAGGAAAGCCGGCAGATTGTAATATGTAGATAGACACATGGTTGACCGGAGCACTGACCGACCAAGAAAGCTGGAGCCAAGGTTGAAATGCATTGAACAAACGACACGGAGAAAGATAGTCAGGGGTCATGACTAGTTACTTAAAAATAACAGCCAAGTATCTTTGCAACAAAAGAAACATCGCAACTAGTTAGAACTTAAGTCCGATTTTTTTCATCAAGATTGAATAGCTGTTAACCTCCGCATTACCCTGCGCTTGACCTTAATTGAACCACAATTTAGCACGTCATGCTACGATAAAACCACTACCGAAAACCGTGACAGAACCGACCTAAATCGAATCAGATCAGGGCCAGCATGGACTAAAACAGATCAAACGAATCAGAGCTGGCCCACGAAACAGAAGCCATTTAATGCTCCTGCAGAAGCCGCCAAAGCCGGCACAGCCTCGACCTTCCCCTCCATGTAACGTGACTTAAAGTCACGGACCGGTCTGAATCTGTTCACGATAATCACGACGGTCACGATGACATGACCCATAACGGCGTGCCACAATGCCCATTACGCTATCTGTCAAGATCGTTACGTCGGCCATCATCGTGTTCGTCACCTCCTACTTAACTAAACCAGCATTCAGCTTGGACAACTCCCATTTCATCCCTCAACATGCGTTTGTCACATCTCCAGCCACACTGTGCCCTAACGCACAGCCACACATGTGACTTTTTATCAACCTCACCAGCCACCCCTACGACATCTCACCCTGGTCAGCGTTGCCGCCGTTCCGTTCCTCCGTCTTTCCAGCCGGCGGCGACTGTTCAGCTCCCTCCTCCTCCAAAGTGGCCGGCAGACTGGCCGCGGCGGCCGGACGGCGGGGTCGGGACGCCCCGTGGTTCCGTTTGGGTCGCACTGCGATCCTGTGTTTGGCCGCGGCGTGGCTCAGTACTCCCGGGGGCCGTGGCTCCGCAGAGTCTGGAAGACGGGTGGAGGGCGTTGTGAGAATAATCATATCTTACGAATACACCACAGAAACTCCGCACAAACCATGTAAGCCATGGCATGTAATAGTTACGAACGTAACGAAATTAATTTACAAACTATGATGATTAATTAATTATGAGAAATATTCCGATAAAGAAAAACTACTGGGGTGCAGCCGGTCAACGTAACTCTGAGAGGGATCTGACAAAGCCATCACGCCGTTGCAGGACATCAGATAGAGGGTCAGATACGCCACCCGACACGGGTCAGTAGCGGTGCATGTGGCGCCGCAGCGAGAATAGAAGCGTTGAAAGATCTAGGACACAGGCTAGCGATCACCGATTTATCATCAAGGACAGCCCATTCGATGTGAAACGCTACAGTGGACATGTGCTGGCCGTTTGACGTTCCATGTCTCATGGTTTATCAAACCTCTTTTGTTACCAGTTCCCAGGACTTTCGGTTCGGCTCTGACGACCACATCGATGTCAGACGATGCTATCGACAGCAGCGAAATCAGACAATTCTCACGCCGATTTCGATAAAGCACACGGGTGAGCAGCTAGCACCTTATCAGTTGAAGCTGAATGATCTCAGTAACCAAACAGTGGACGCTGCTGAGTTGAGTGTGAGTTGAGTGTGAGTTGAGTAGGCCTCACCTTGGTCACGGGAGAGCGACACGCGACTCGAGTTGTCTGAGAGCGGTCCGAAGATGTCGTCATCCGTGCCGGTGCCGGTGCCGGAGCTGTAGATGGAGAGCATGGAGCCATCGCTGCACGAGCCGCCAGACTTGCCCGTCGGGGTCTGCCGGAGGGAAACAGGCCGACATTAGTCATAGGTCAAGGGACAAACGTCAACAATGGTCATTGGCTATCGGTCTTCGGTCATCGGTCAGTGGCCATTGGTCAAAGGTCAGTGGTCACAGACAGACGGTGGTCGAAGGCACAGGACACAAGCTACGAGCTAGCGCGCAGCAACCAGGAGCACGCTGCAGGTCATGCTCCAAGAAACAAAGACGTGAATATTAAATGTGTCACAGGTGACCTCCGTACCGATCAAGTACAGAGTTTATGAACCGTGACTCACTGTCACGAAGTGCATGTCGCGACACTTTACAGCATAAAAGGCCGCCGTAAAACGCATGGCTTAGAGCTTCAAACACGACACTTAAAGTCAATACATGATTCATCAGTCAAGCCTTCTCCCTTCTTCTCACCCAGCAGTTCGAATCAAGCACGATTCCCGGGCAACAGAGAATCTCACGACAGCTCAGCTGTGCGTGATTCATCACTATCAGCGTTCGACCCTGTCCGTGACTGCGTGAATAGCCCGGTGATGTGACCTTGTTCGGTAGTTAGCGTTCGCTGTCGTTGACATGGGCGTGGGGATTGGATAGTCTCGGTCGGGTAGTTCACAGAAGCCGCTCTATTGACGCCGAGTTCACGGTGACTCAGAGCGGTGACGGCACAGAAGTGAATTGGTCGTAAACATGGACCGAAGGACAAGGTCACGGTCATCTGGGGTTCAGGGCGAGCTTTATAACACTAATGTGAACTTACGTACATTAATCAAATTAAAAAGTGGAGAATTAAGGTCACATGTATGAAGTAGGGTCACATGTACTCGGCTTACCATGAACGAATGAGTTTCACTTTAATTGTCCCCTGCAAGAGCCTAAATCCATTTCATGACTTTAACCGCAGTGCTTTGCAGGAAATCTATCATCACGACGAAACGTGATAACCACATGACCACTTTATTAACCGCAGAAGACCCAAAGTTCTCACAAACTTGTCACCTAGAATTAACATACATCCATAGTCCATACATCATTAACCACGATCTCAAGATTGTCAACCAGACATATCCATAACCTAACCCTATTGATTGTGTTTTGACAGGTCGCGTCTGTTCACCTGTTGGCTGTTGATGCACCTCAGTGCTAAGTTCGCTTTCCACAAATACCATGCCGGCTTCACATGACCGATTGGATAACGATAGCTTGGCCCGACAGGCTGCCGGCCTGACTCCGGGTTGGTTACCATCGAGCTTCCTATGAACTCAGGCTGCTAATGCCGGAAAGAACTGGTGTGGGCGGGGTTTTACTGGACGCTGCTTATATCCACGCTGCTATTCCATTTCGCGAGCTGACGTCACACTCGTGGTAGTGTTGGAGCAATGGACTTGTTGACGCCTCCATGGAAACCCAATTTGACACGTGTGATAGCAACGTGCTGCTATCATCGGTGAAACACCACCAGGGCCGAAGGTAGCCGGTAGGGTCAAGAGTGGCGGTTGTAGTCGAGGTTGATGAGGGCGGCGGACGGCAAAGAAGGCGGTGAGGCGGGGGCGGCAGTGGCGGAGGGCGGATACAGCGGCGGCGGTGGGAGTTTGTTCCACTCCATTAATCGAACTGCTGCCGAACGGTGCGCCAGCCGGCGGCAGCAGCTGGCCGGATGGTCTGTTTCCCGAACACACGGCCGGTCATAGCCAGTGAACCGTGCCGACTAATTTAATTCTGTCCGTCGGTGGGCGATTTACGGGACGAGGAATTAAAGTGCTGACAAGCGACGATGGGCCCGAGAAATCAGTCGGGTTTATGTACATGGCACGAGAAAGAATGACGTAGCATACAAATAAATTACTTGTCAAACGAATGGGCTCGACTAGTCAAAACCGGTACATCTGGGTACATCACCAAATGTTCAATGCCTAATGGTCACTGTTCAGTCGTTCAAAATACCAGCGACGGCCTAAACAAGCATTGCACCAAGCCGGAGACTGCAACGGGCGGTCGACCCGTAACACCAACATTATCCTGTTGATGCCCCCTAAGCCCGCCACGGTTGAACGACTATCGGCGATGCCCGCGATAAGCGACCACCTGCCGAGTCTGAGGGCTGCTCCGAGCCCAACAGACCAAGACGCCCCAAATGCGGAGATTGACGGCATATGGGCTGCAAGATCGCGCTGCGCTGATACAGAGTTCAGGATTGTTGGTGCAGAGGTGCTGTATTTAGCCATGACTATCAGTTCGGTAAACAGACTGAGGTTACCGATAGCAGTTCATAACTCGACGCCCTGACATTGGATGGGCCTTATCGGGGTGTTTGTTTGATCTAACAATAGACATGGTATGTATTTTTCTTCTCTGTTATATGAACTATTGGCCCCTGAAGTCAACATAGAATAAGCTTTCATTTGAGTTTGTTGACTTTTTCGAGAAAAACATCAATAGTTTCCTATATAAAGCACTTGCAAGGTTTTGGCCTTCTCATTCTCGAAGCCGTTTGATTCACGAGTTAAGCGGTAAACAATGAGAATGCACGGTCCACGGACACAGACCACGAGCATCATTATTGTTATACCAGGGTCATCGAACGATGCCCTGGTATAAAGCAAGAGAGCAGCACCATCGTCCATCATATAATACTGTTATTCCTCGGTCAAATCTTCCTGCTCCATGATAAACGAATCAGCCACGGGTACCGCACCAATCTCGGACTATACCTCCCCCGCTGAGAGCTCCCGTGGAGGGCAGGTCAGCCCGTATTGTGCTCCCGTGACCCGTGACCCGTGACCTCTGACCCGTGACCGTCTATCAGCAGGGTACCGTTCGGGGCCATATCGGTCGGTCGGCCGGCCGCCGCCGTATCGGTAGTATAAGTTACCGCGATTGACTGCTCTGATAGACGGGAGGGCGGGGGAGGGAGGGCGGGGGAGAGGCGGCGCGGCGGTTCACCGTTACCCGACCACTCGCTGACCCAGCTCGGTTCGGCCCGGCTGCTCGGCCCGGCCCGGCTGCCCACTGCCCAGCGCTGCCAGTCAGCCGCCCGGCTGCCCGGCTGCTCGCCAGCTACCGCTGCCCAGCATAGATAAGCAAGACGGCAGTATCTGGCCGGCCAGCTGTGGCAGAGTAAAGTCTGTAGAATAGCTGGGAAAACAGAACGGAGGGGAGGAGAGGCCAGATGGTTGACGGGTTAGACTGAGGTAACCGACCTGAGGAGACTGATATTGAGGATTGAAAGACTGATTTATGGGGAAAGTTCATAGAGAAGAAGGATATGCATTGTTGATATAAATGCCATAACAGTAAGACAGCTTAACCGCTGAGATATTGATGGACCTGACAGCAAAGTAATGTCACATACCTCGGAATGACGGCCATAAACGGTTCAGTAAGCTGCAAAAAACCAGCCTAGCAGCTCAACTATGAGCCTAATTCGTTTCCGGCGAGACGTTAAATAACCAAAAAAATAATATGCATAGACCAACAGGCCATTAGGCAGCTAACACAGGTCATCCGGTCAAGCCGAAGCAGCTAGCCGACCGAGCTCGGTGAACTGGTATTCCCGTTACGGTGTGCCGCGAGGCAGCCATTGTTTACTGCTGATCAGCCATGCACAGTGCACGTCGGCGCCTGGCTGGCGGTGTCGGCAGGCGCCGGTCGGCTGAGCTAGAGGGTGATGAACGGACGGCAGCGACCCCGCCCAGGTCACACAGTGTCAGACGGCGCCAGAGGTGGCTGTTGTGGTGAAGAACGGCGTGGAGTGAAGGGTAAACAGACTTCGCGGGATGAGGTTAATATGCGACTCGTAGCTATTCTTCCACTCAAGAAGTAAAATTCTTCCTCATCCGTTTTAAAGATAATTCGGACGGGATAGGCCCAGCATGATGTGCTCACTGCTCAGCGTATTCACATCAAAGTAGATTCACAAGCTTCGAAAGCTAAACCCACCTATCTAAAGCCGCTGAAAGCCTGTCCCACTCAACTGTCGGCACACCCAGCATCTGCATTATAAATCACTGGTCATCATTAGTTGTCAACGCGCTGGCAGCAGCATACAACAGCCATCATAACAATCTAAGAGCTAACGGAGACCGGCGGATCCACTCTGTCGCTTGTCGTTGACCTGAGCTCTTGGGTACGACAGCTACTGAGCGAGGCTTTGGTCGGTGCAGGCGGGTCGGCGGCCCGGCAGAGTGGGGGTGTACGGGGTTGTGTACCGAGCGCACTAACTATAACGGCACATCGGGATGGGATGAAGCCGAACGGACAGAGGGGATCCGAGAGTCAGAGAACCGAGACCAAACCGAGAGACGGAGCCGATCGAGAGACATGCCAAGTGCCTAGAGGCTAGAGCGGAGAGCCGAAAAAAACTTCAGGAGTCAAAACTGAGAAATGTCAGGTAGCTGAGCCAGCGTGGTAGTCAAATCGGCGCTAAAAATTTCGAACGAAAATGTCAACACGGGATTGACAAAAGGCTAGAAGCGGAGCCAGGCACCGAACAAAAGGTGAGCAAGAAGGGCCAACGGCCAAATGACAGTTACTTTAGGTATGACCTGGATGCTAAAAAAAAAAAAAAAACCCAGTACAACACCAGCAATCATAGACGGCGACAATATCAGCGCACTGTGGACGAACAGTGGCACAGTTGACCGGATGTTGACCAGATGCAGGCGGCACTTCTGCCATGTCAGCGGGTGGCTCGATGCACAGGCGGCCGACGGGAGAGGGAGGCTAATGACACATTACAAAGGGACGCCGCCGGAGGAACAGAGGTGTAAGTGGACCACTACAGTTGGTGACATACCAGGGAAATAAGCTAAAATTAGAGCGCTCTATTTATTGCTCCTGCCCCATGTTGAAGAGATACCCCTAAAAGCGTGATCTTTTATCGGCCCTTACGCAGCAAGGCAGTACTTATCAGACCGGTGGATGGTACCAATAGAAAGAGAATGCGTCAAAGATTAACGTGAATAAATTAAAATAACATTTAAATGTCAATTGAGCGTAGAAATAA